TTTTTAATCTTTGGAAATTGAATAAAATATTATTTAAAGAAAGAAAACCATCCAGGGCAAATGCAATGCAACATGAAATAAATAAAAGATGATTCTATAATTGTGTAAGGGTCTCCTTATTGAGCAGGGGGTTGGACTAGATGACCTACAAGGTCCCTTCCGAAGCTGATAATCAGTTAAACATATCCTGTGCTCTGGTGGGAAAACGCAAGAGAATTTTGAAGAGGGTTGTGTTTAGGCATACCAACAGCACTTAAAAATTGCAATCCCCACCCCCCAGTCATTTAAAACTCAAAAATAGTCCCCTTTGTAGAATCTTTAACATGCTTCAGTGCTATTTATTTATGCCTGGAGGGAAAATCCTAATCAGAACGACAGAATGACAAAATAACAGAGCCGAAAGGGACCTTGGAGGTCATCTAGTCCAACCCCTCTGCTCAAGCAGGAGCCCCTTACACAATTACAGAATCCCAGAGCTGGAAGGGACCTTAGAGGTCGCCTAGTCCAACCCCTCTGCTCAGATAGGAGACCCCGTACCAACCTCGGGAAAAAAAAGGTTGTCCAATCCTTTCGTTCCATCGGCCACATTCACATGAACGCTTGCCCAACCAAGAAACTCGTTTATTTTCTTTCTCAAAACAAAACCAAACCAAAAAAAAGATATCTGAAAAAGAGAAACCTCATCTCAGAACGGCTTTTTGCAAGAATAAAAAGCTAAATCAATCAATCAGCAAACGTTCACTTTCAACTTCCTTTTTAAGGGTTGGAGGGGTTTTTTTTGTTTGTTTGAAAGGCAAGCCGAAAAAGACAAGCAAAGCCATCTCAACCAAGACAACAGGGTAATTTCCAAGAAAAAGAAAAAAGAAAAAAAAAGGGGGGGGCGCTAAGGCCTTTTTGCAACCCCAAATCTTAAACCACATTGGAGAGGTTCCTCCCCACCCCCAGTTCTCTCCCCCGAGCAATGCCAGCCTAGCGTATTTTGCGCATTGCGTGGCCCACAATAAAATCCCCTTCGCTTGCTAAGATGGGGGGGCCTGCTTTCCCCCCAAAATGAGAGACAGAGGCATTTCTTGAATCCCTCGACAGAGAAAAGAAACATCATTTATCCTTTTGGTCCAATTTAGGGGAAAGAAAAGTGGGGGGGAAAAAACTTTGAAGAGATGCCAGTCCTAACAAAAGTCAGCGATTTCCGCAAGCGAGGCTCTTTCTCTCTCTCTCCAAATCACGTCCTCTGCTCTTCAGTAAATAAACCAAAACGTGGACACAAGGATACGTTTGTCCATTTCTCTCTCCCTCCCCCTCCCCCTCTCTCTCTGTGTTTGTGTGTGTGTGTGTGTAACAGAGAGAGAGAGAGAGAGGGACAGAGAGAGGGAGGGAGTTGGAAGGGACCTTGGAGGTCTTCTAGTCCAACTCTGAGAGAGGGAGGCAGAGAGAGAGGGAGGGAGGGAGGGAGAGAAGGAGAGGAAGAGGGAGAAAGGGAGGGAGAATGAGAGAGAGAGAGAGACAAACAGAGACAAAGAGAGAGAGAGAGACAGAGAGAATGAGAGAGAGAGAGACACAGAGAGACACAGAGACACAGAGAGAGAATGAGAGAGAGAGACTGAGTGAGAGTGAGATACAGACAGAAAGAGATAGAAATGAGAGAGAACGAGAGACAGAGAGTGAGAGACAGGGAGAGATTGAGAGAGAAATGAGAGAGAATGAGAGACAGAGAGTGAGAGTGAGAAACAGAGAGAGAAATGAGAGAGAATCAGAGACAGAGAGAGAGACTGAGTGAGAGACAGAGAAGAGTGAGAGAGAGAGAGAAATGAGAGAGAACGAAAGAGAGAGAGAGTGAGAGACAGGGAGAGAGTGAGAGAGAAATGAGAGAGAATCAGAGACAGAGAGAGAGACTGAGTGAGAGTGAGAGACAGAGAAGAGAGAGAGGGAGAGAGAGAGAGAGAGAGAGAGAGAGCAGGCTGTGAAAGTCTTTGTGCAGCCATGAATATAAGAAGCCTGGGAAATGGGCTTTGGGGGAACGGCGGGTGAAGAACTAACTATCAGTATCTCAACCACACTGGACAAGCTTGTTGGGAGTGAGCAAGGACAATAGCTGGCTTGGCAGCCCTGCCCAGAAGTGGGATCTTGTCTGGGGGTGGGGAGAATGACTCCCCCTCCCCTCTTCAGAGTCCCAGGGAGATGTGGCTTGGCTTCTGAGGACACCCACAAGCTCTGGCCTGCCATCCAGAACTGGAGTTTGACAGGCCTGGTTTGAAAACCGGCTCCTTTTGCCTCCCTAAACACCCCTGTGGTTATCCAGGGTTCCTCCGGGGATCTCTGATCTCTCTTCTTCACCGGGGCGTCTGCCTGAAACTCCGTTTGTTCCAGTTGCATCGCACAAGCCAAAAGAGGCTAAGCTATCCCGACTGAGATATAAAACTGAGCTGCTTTAAAGAGAGAAAGAGATTGAGGGAGAAGGAAGGAAGGGTAACGGGAGAGGGAGCAAGGGGGAGAGAGGGAGAAGAAGGGAAAGAGAGAGGGGGAGGGACAGAGAAGGAGAGGGAGGAGAGGGAGAGGGAGGAAGTGGGAGGGAGGGAAAGGGATGAGAGAGAGTGGAAGGGAAAGGAGAGAGGGAGAAGGAAAGGGAGAGAGGAGGAAGAGGGAGAAGGAGAAGGAAGGAGCGGAAAGGAGAGAGGGGGAAGGAGAGGGAGAGGAGGAGAGCCAGAGAGAATGGGAGGGAGGGAGAGGGAGGGAGAGGGAGTGGGAAGGAGGGAAAAAGGGAGGGAGAGGGAAGGAGAGGGAGAAGGAGGGAGAGGGAGAGAGGGAGAGGGAGAGAGAAGGAGGAAAGGAGAGCCAGAGAGAGTGGGAGGGAGGGAGAGGGAGTGGGAAGGAGGGAAAAAGAGAGAGGGAGAGAAGGATGGAGGGAAAAAGAGAGAGGGAGAGAAGGATGGAGGGAAAGAGAGAGAGAGAGGGAGAGGGAGGGGAGGGAGAGAGAGGGAGGAAGACGCGAGGCTTTCACCTTCTCAACTCCGCATGGTGAAAATACGCTCACTTTCACCTTGATTTCAAACAGAGTAGCAAATATTCACACCTCCCGATTGGACGCATCCGGTCAGTATCAACCCTCAGCTGGCCAAGATCACAAGATCACAAGTCCCCAGGCTGTCTCTCTCTCTCTCTCTCTCTCACACACACACACACAGCTCAGCAACTTGAACAAGAGCGTTCATTTCCTTTCACCCAGGCCTTCTCACTTCATCCAATCCAAGCACCCACTTCTTTTCTTTCTTTCTAACGTCTTCCTAACTCTAGGGTTGTTGAGAAGAGATGCCCAGTTTACTCAACTTAGTAAAACTCGGACACTTTCTGCACACTTTCTGCGGAGGTGGCTGTCCCTCTAGATCACGTTGGCATCCGAAAGGAAGTAGACAAGGGGAAGAAGGCTGCATGCCACACCAACCTTGCCAACTAGTAGTAACTCCCCTTCACCTTGTTCCTTTGGTCCCTGGCTGGTCTCTAACATGCACCCCCCTCTCCTCACACACACACACACACACACACACACACACACACACCCTCCAATCATTCCCAGGGCTTTGCATTCCTAAGGAAGCTTATCTTGGGCTCAGGAGTTAGAACCAAGCGGAGAATCCGGAAGGATTCCGGAAACAATAACCATCCGGCCCAACCAGCGAGCACCAATCTGGCCCCAGCAGAGGCCAAATTTGCAAAGGAAAGAAAAGACCTTTGCACAGCAGACACGAAATCTGCAAAAACCGGCAAAGGAGAGAATTTTGCAAAGGAAAGAGAAGCAACCTAGAGCAAAGAAGAAATTAACTGGTGGAATGGATGCCACCAGAAGTTGTGGGTGGAAGTTTTTAAAAAGAGATTGCACAACCATTTGTCTGAAATTGGTATAGGGTTTTCTGCCTAGGCAGGAGGTTGGGCTAGAAGACCTCCAAGGTCCCTTCCAACTCTGTTATTCTATTGTAATAGATGTGAAACCTGCAAGGAAATAGCGTTGCACAACCAACACAAAAATCTGCAAGGAAGGAGGGGGAAAAGTTTGGGAAAGAGGCGAACTATTTAAGCAAAGAAGAGAACTTTGCAAAACTCATCAAGGAGAGAAGAAACCAAGAA